GTCTTGTGCTGCACGCCGGCCGGACCTGCGACGGACGACGAACTGTCCTGCGACGGGCGACGGACGACGGACGGACCTGCGACGGACGACGAACTGTCCTGCGACGGGCGACGGACGACGGACGGACCTGCGACGGACGACGAACTGTCCTGCGACGGGCGACGGACCGACGAACGAGGGACGACGCCTAGCAGATCCGAATGTGCGAAGACACCTCGCGCTCCGTAGCGGGCTACTGATCACAAATCAAGTAAGCACGTGGCGCAGCGCGTGCACGTTGGACGGGGACAGAGGAGACGGTAATCACCAAGAAGGGCCTCGGCTGGATAGCGTATATACCACGCTAGTCGTCAAGCCTCTATCAGAAGCTCTCTAGTGCGAAATGGAGCCCTCTCTCTATATAGAGGTGTTTATAGTGTGCAGGAACGCACAACCGCACGCGAGTCGATTTCCCACGCACCTGTTTGTTCCCACCAGTCAGGCCAGCTAGTGTGAGAGGCGGCGAAATCGTACGGAGATCGATATTACCGTGGCTACCGTTGGCACGGGGCTCCATCGCTACCACTATCTTGCTGACGATAATTGTCTGCCATCGTACCAAGCACATTACTCGCAGGGTTACTCCTGTTGTGTGACGCAACGCCCCCCCCCGCGCTCCCCGGCTATGCCTCTTATGTACAACGCCGCTACGTCAACAGTATTCGTTGCTTCATAGATATATGCAAACGTGGTATATGTGGTTGCAATACAATTGGTATATGTGGTTGTATAAATGGTTGCTTGTTGTCACTAATATCGTAAAATATATATGACACTAGAGCAAAAAGTGGAGCCTGTACTTTCTGTCAGTCCGGGAAAAGGAACTCGACCCACACACACGCACGCACACACACACGCGCACGCACACACACACACGCACGCGCACACCCTCGCGCGCACGCACGCGGACGCGGGGCGGACGCATGACCTCGTCACATGTCCGCTACAATGTAACACATCACTTCGATACAGGCGTGTGCTTGTTGCCGTGCTCTGAAGGCAACGGACGCGCATATTCTCACTGCATGGCGGGTTAAAGGGCCTCGGGATAAATCAATCTTATAGGATGGATTTTTTTATACTATATAAACAATATAATTGTGTAGGTGCAAGAATGCGCTCTTGAGAGAGAGACAGAAGGGTTAGGGAGGGAGGGAGGGAGGGAG